ATTCCAATCATTGGTAATTATCAATGCATCTTGATTGCATGTTTGATCAATTTCAGACTGTAGAAGTTGGTAAAAATCTTCAATTTCTTCATCTTTGGCCTTAGTGGTTGATGCATAAATTTGAGTAATAGCCATATTAACTGGTCTTCTTTGTAGGCATATGGATATTATCCTATAACTGACAGCAGTGTACTTCAGGATAGATCTTGAAATGTTCTTTTTGACCATGAATGAGATGCCATTCCTCTTCAATTTGTAATTCCCAGCATAGTAGACCATATGATTGTCTGATTCAAAATGGCCAATACCACTCTATCTCAGCTCATTTATGCCTAGGATATTGATCTTCAAGCATTCCATTTAATTTCTGGCAACTTCCAGTTTTTCTAGGTTCATACTTTGTACATTCCAAGTTCCAAATATTAATGGATGTTTGCAGCTGTTTATTCTCATTTTGAGTCGTGCCACATCAGCAAATGAAGGTCCCAAAAGTTTGACTCCATCCACATCATTAAGGTTGACTCTACTTTGAGGAGGTAGCCCTTCCCCAGTTGTCTTTTGAGTGCCTTCCAACCTGAGGGGCTCCTCTTGCGGCACTATATCAGACAATGTTCTGCTGCTATTCATAAGATTTTCACTGGCCAATTTTTTCAGAAGTAGACTGCCAGGTTATTCTTCCTAGTCTGTTTCAGTCTGGAAGCTCTGCTGAAACCTGTCCACCATGGGTGACACTGCTAGTATCTGAAATACTGGTGGCAAATCTTCCAGTATCACAGCAACATGCAAGCCACTACAGCACGACAAATTGACAGACTCGTGGTGGCAAACATCTCTAGGATTACATAACTCTTTCTGAACCGAGTCCAGGTATGTTCTATTCATTGGTCTGAGTTTTATCTGAGCAATACTGAGTAAATTTGGCTTGCCCTCACCCTAAATTCTCTCTTCTCCAGGTAAAATATGTCTCTTGATCAAGCAATTCTTCTCACCCTTAATTTCCATAGCTGCACTGATCACCTGCCTTTATCAGTTCTCTAGCATGGCAGGAGGGAGAGAGAGTTGCATGGTGGTCTCCCCTGATGGCAGCAGGTTCTTAGGTCTTCAGCATTGTACCTGCTGTTCTCAGAACAGTGTCAGACAGAGCAGAACCCATTATTCAGCATGAAATTAAATTAGCTAACTGTTTCATTCTGTTTGCTAAATCTATTCCCATTGTAAATTTTTTAATTGTGGTAAAATATGTGTAACAAAACATTTGCCATTTTAACCAGTTTTATGTGGACAATTCAGTGACATTACATTCACCATGTTGTGTAGCTATCAACACTATCCATTTCCAATTTTTGCATCCCCTTAACAGAAACTCAGTACTCCTTAAGGAAAGTTGTTGTTGTTGTTGTGTGCCAACAAGTAAATTCGGACTCATAGCAAACCTATATGACAGAGTAGAACTGCCCCATAGGATTTCCTAGGTTGTAATCTTTACCTGGCAGATTGCCAGGTCTCTTCTCCCACAGAGTAGCTGGTGAGTTTGAATCACTGACCTTTTGGTTAGCAGCCCAGCACTTAACCATTCCACCATCAGGGCTCCTCTCTTAAGCAGTAACTCCCAATTTTCCTCTCTCCCGATACCCCTGGTAACCACTAATAAACTTTGGTTTCTATGCATTTGCCTATTCTAGGTATTTCATATTACTGGGATCATACAATATTTGTCCTTTTGTGATGGATTTATTTCACTCAGTAAAATGTATTCAACATTCATCCATGTCGTAGCATGTATCAGAGCATCATTGTTCTTTATGACTAATATTCTATATACTACTTTTTTTCTCCATTCATCTGTTGATAAACATTTAGTTTTTTTCACCTTTTGGCTATTGTAAATAATGCTGCAATGATCACTAGTGTACGAGTCTCTGTTGGAGTCCATGCTTTCAATTCTTCTGAGACTATACCTAGGAGTGAAATTGCTGGGTCATATGGTCATATGGTAATTCTATGTTTTCGTTTTTTTTTTTTTTTTTTCCACAGAGGCTGCACCATTTTACATTCCCACCAGCAATGGATGAAAGTTCTGATTTCTCTACATTTTGGCCAATACTTGTTGATTTCTGTTTTTCTGATAAAACCTATTCTAGTGGGTATGAAATTGTGTCTCATTGTGATTTTGATTTGCAATTCCCTAAAGACTGATAAAGAGTCCTGGTTGCTCAGTGGTTAAAGCACTAGGCTGCTAACCAAAAGGTAGGTAGTTTGAACCCACCTGCCGCTCTGCAGGAGAAAGATGTGGCAGTCAGCTTCCATAAAGATCACAGCCTTAGAAACCCTATGGGGCAGTTCTACTATGTCTTATAGAGTTGCTATGAGGCGAAATTGACTCGACAGCAGTGAGTTTGGTTAGTTTTAATGACAGATAACATTAAACAACTTTTCATGTGCTTATTGGCCATTAGTATATTTTCTTGGTGAAATGTATACTCAAGCATTTTCCCAGTTTTTGATTGGGTTGTCTTTTTATTGTTGAGTTGTAAGTGTTCTTTATATATTCTGGATATTAAACTTTTATCAGACTTTTAGTTCCTAAACACTCCTTCCCTTCTATAGGTTGTCTTTTCACTTCGTTCATAAAATCTTTTGATGCAAAGAAGTTTTTAATTTTGATCCAATTTATTTTTTTCTTTTGTTGCTTCTGCTTTTGGGGTTGTATCTAAGAATCCACTGCTGAAAACATAAATCTTGAAGCTTTACCCTTATATTTTGTCCTAAGAGCTATTATCCATTATTTAAGTAAAACTGTCTTATTTGTTTACATTCATTAATAAGTGAAGTGTTTGGAGAAAACAGTAAAAGGACAAAATAGCTTCATGTATTAATACTTATTATCTGCTGGATATTGTATTGGGTACTATATAGTAATTTAATATATTCCTCTAAAGTCTTTGTGACATGGAGATTATTATCCCATCCTACACAAAGAAAGGTAGGTTGCAGAGTGTAGGAAACTTGTCAGAGGCAGTATAGTAAGTTAACAGCAGTAGGAATTTGAAATCCAAGACCCACTTCCCATCCTGCATCTCCAACTTAGGCTGGATGCCTGTGCAATGTGCACCCACAGTGGGGGTCTTTTACTGTCTTCACTGCACCATCACTGCACCTATGATATCAGATGTGATTGCTTGCTTACTGCTCATCTCCTCTGTTCAGTGAGACACAGGAGCCATGTCCATCTTGCTCACCTTTGTATCCATGATTTCTAGCACACATTAGGAGTCTAATAAATATTTGTTGAGTAAATGAATGAGAATTCCAAAGACTATGCTCTAAACACTATACCAAAAAACCTCTATGAATATACTTAGGTATTATTTATTAAATGATCATCAGCTTCAGTTTCAGACATTGAACACTAAAAATTTTTAAAGTTGAGAGAACAGTGAGGATAATCAGGCCATGAACCGATGACCAACCTTCATTTCAGGGGTTCACAGTTCCTATCAGTCCCTCTCTTCTGGTATCACTGGCAAGTACAGCCCCAACATAACCAGCAATTTTGACTTGGAATGGAAAGACAGAAAAGCCATGTTCCTGATTCCCTGGATGCTCCTCGCCTTTCTGAGTAATGAAGTTTGTAAGTCATAAAACATGGCTACACCTCTGAGTTAGTAGTTAAGAGTATTGTTCTGAAATTAGAGGACCAAATTTGAAACTTTGTTCTGCCAAATACTAGCTGTATGACATTGAACATGTTAGTTATCTCCCCAAGCCTCATGTTCCCTATTTGTAAAATGAGAAGAATAATGATACCTACTTCATAGAATTGTTATGAACAAAATAATGCATGAAAAATACTTGTGGCAACGCTTCATACGTTTTAAATATTAACTACATGTCAGCTCTTATTATCAGTAATAATGCACGTCCTCCCCTTTCCATTTCCTTCCCAGTGGTAGCATGAGTGGGATCCACAAAGATTCTGCCCACACATTTCCTACTATAGACACCTGACTTCTGTGGAGTACAGTAGGTATAGCCAGCGAGCAAAAGATGTTGAAGGAAAGAATGAATCATGATTGTTTAATAATTTATTTTGTTATCAAATTAATACATGGCATGAGTCTTAGAGAAAGAACTTTAAAATCTGGAGTTTGTTGCTTGCTCCAATAACATGATTTCATGTAAAGACTACAGAAGAATTATTTTATTTTGTTCTTCTCATAAAACAAACTTCAACACAGTACACATAGGAAGAAGATAAGTTGATCTTCATCTCTTTTCTCTGCAGCCTGGGAAGAAAAAATAGTATTTTATGCAGAAAAAAATGAAATATTATAAACTGGGTGATGGAAAATCATGTATTTGAAATACTGTTAGTGGTCACTGTATTTTGCCTCTTGTAGATCCAAACCTACCCTCCACTGAGATCCAGATCTCTCTTCTCTGACATCATATATTATATGCTTTATCTATGCCACCATTTTTACCCAAGTTTGTGTTATGAGCCATACATAAACTGAAGGGGAGAGGACACCCTTTATATATCTTTTCGAATTCACAAACACATAGCTCCATGTATATGTAAATGCTGCAGCAAATCCCCTGGGTCAGGATTACTGAGACTTGTCTGTTCACCTCACCCTCCAGAGAGTTACCCTTCCTCTGTCAACATTCAGAGATGTGACTGCCTCTCCTTTCTGGACCAGACAGCTGAGTGCAATAGCAGAAAGGCAGAGGAATTTGTGCCTTTTTGCTGTTGAGGAAACTATCTGAATAGTAAGAAAAGTGCTAGCACACACGCAGCATAGCCACCCTGCAGGAGTAATAAATACCCAGAGAAACACTCCAGGACCAGTACTGGGACTTGTTAGTTACAAGGCACAAGGGATGAACAGAAATCAACATTGAATCATGAGAAGGAAAAAGGCAGGGCGACTGAATAAGCTGCAAATAAACTTGGTATTTGGTTGATGTACAAGGTATTACCTTTGGTGCTTTTTACTTTATGTTTGTGAAGCAGCCTGGCTTTTGGCTTCCAATTTTGGACCCTGAAGGGAAAGAAAAGAACATATAGGAAAAGAAATTTAAGATACTATTTTTTATATTTAGAGATACAGTTACCCTGAATTTTGGAAAGAAACATTAAACCACTCTCACATTGTATAGGAAGACAGTGAAAACTCTTTAAGTGAGCTTGAGAAGAGATCTCCAAGGTTTTTGTCAACTGCCAATAAATCCATCCCTGCCTTTACATGGACCTCATGGACACATTCACTTAGGTAAATGAAAGGTAGGATCTGTGTTGTTGTTAGGTGCCGTCAAGGAACTATTGACCCCTAATTAAATTAAAATATATTTTTAAAGAACTAATACATGCACTCCTCACTTATCGACATGGTTAGGTTCTGAAGACCGGTTGATATGTGAAAATCAGTGTTATGCGAAAATGGAGGATGACCACATCAGATCACAAAATGGAGGATGACTACATCATTACGTAACTGCCAAATTATACCACTATATAATTGCCAAACCACTGAGAATCATGGCCCAGCCAAGTCGACACATAATCTTAACCATCACAGCCAGTGTTACTCTAACCTTGTACCTCAGTGTTCATTACTGCCAGACATACATTGTTAACGGGCAAAATAGGAGGATAGCGGATTTTTTTACTATTGTCATAAATGTGAAACATCATATAAAGTGATAATCTATAAGTGAGGAGTAGGTGTAATTTGTTCAAGAAAATTTCCATAAACTAAGCACCCACTCAGGAAAGTAGGGGGCTCTCAATCAGAATGAAAGATTTGCATGTATGTTCATGTGAGCGCTTGTGATGTGTGTGCATGTGTGTGTGTGCGTGCGCATGAGTGTTCATGAAATGTATATGTATGATTGTGTACATGAGTGTTCATGAAGTGTGTGTGTGTGTGAATTTTGAGTGAGTTTGGGAGTGCAGTGGGTGTTACTAGGAAAGAAACCATGGGAAAGGAAGTTGGAAAACAATGAATAGGCATCCCAAGGAGCCATTCAGACAGAACTTTGGGCTGACATTCAGAAGTAACTGAGGAGCCTTGGACCACCACAGCTACAGATTCCACAGTCACTAGAGCGAGAACCAGCAAGGAACATTTCTCCCTCTCCTCCGCCTGCTACCCTTACCTTCCACTCCCTCACTTCACACACATGTATTCTCAACTGAGGGATATTGGGACAAGGATCAGGAAGGTGAAACAGTCCCCCACTTAAGGACTTCATTTCATGCTCTCCTCCCCTTTGCAGCTGACTGTGATTTCCTTTGCAAGTTAGTTTGAGAATATGCTTTATAAGATACTGGGCGATTCAAAAAAGAACTGTAAGGATAAATGCTGTAATTCAAGGATAGTAATTATCATCCTCATCTACACATAGTGAACAGCAGTTTAGTTCAAGTTACACAACCAAGATTTCTGGGACTAGAACCCAGGTCTTGCTGACATCTTTTCTTACACCACATTGTTATCAAGAAGACAGTGCTAAACTCCTACCAGAGACATGTCTGCATATTACTTATGTAGTAACCCTGCTCTCAAACACAGGCTTTGTAGACGTTGCAGGGAGGAAGCAGGGTCTGACAGGGGTTTCTATTTAATTTTATTTCACCAAGAGTGCCAACTGAGTTTTAGTGGAAAAGAAATATAACTACCTCTTCACTGAAGCAGGCTTCAGGTCCCTCTGCTTTGCAGCACTTCTCCACCATATTAGTGAAATCTGTAAGCAATGACTGCAGCTCCTTATCTGTAAATTGAGGCTTCAACTTCACGAAGTTAACAAGAAACCTGTGACCCCGAGATATCAAATAGAATCAATTAATGAATTGTTTCTAAAGGTCCTCCAAAATGCTCTTCACAGCATCATATGACTTGAGGGAGGGTCTCAATTTAGGTGAGTGTAAAGAATTAAAATATTAAAATTTGAAAGGGTCTCCTGAAACTTTTCTTTTAAAGTTATGGGATAGAGTCCATGGTAACATTCTTTGGAGGGTTATGTAAACAAAGGCAAATGGTATAAAAATGTGAACATATATTAAGTTATTTTTATGCACGTTATTATAGAATATTTGACTACATTTGATCTTTCTAGAAAAATCAGATTCAAAACAACCTCAAATCCCTATTCCTTGGTAGCTGAATGCTGTTTCTGCTCTCCTTGGTACAGACATTGCCTAAATACGAAAAATAGGTCTTATTTCTTGGCATTTATAGCATTGCCTGAAAGAATAAAAGTAAAATTCCTGTTCCTTTTTTCAAACATAAGGGAGATTCTCAAGGTAAAGACCTACATCATTTTCTATGGAAAAGATGATTCCTAATGAACCTGCCTATGAGTCTTTTAGCTGGCTGTCTAAATCACCTTTCTAAGTTATAGTCTAGTGGACCCTCCAAGTCTTTACCAAAGGAAAAGACAAGCTAGAATTTTACTTGCAAATAATGGCAATAAATATTATCTAGTATTTTTCTGAATTGGAGGGACTGGACATTTTGAAGGAAGGAACAGGGCTGTGATACTAACTACATATTTACTACAATAAACTTTCTCACTAATACATGGTTTGTCTTCAGATGGAAGGAAAAGATGAACGAAAGAGAATATCTATACCTTTCTTTCTTTCTCTGGAGTGCTCCATTTTGAGCGTGACACAAGTTTGCATGAAAGTTAAATAAACCTTGAGAGGTTGACGGAGGCACATATGTTTCATCGGCTTTCAAACTGTCAAAGCAATGCCTTCTGAAGGCAAAGCTTGATTTGCAACACTGGTCCACAGCAGGGTTGATGGTTCGATTTTTATTTACACCACATAATCCTCCGAGAACTAAATCCACCTGTACCAATGAGAGTTAGAACTTGTATATGATTATAAAACTTGACTGCAGTTTAGAAGTAGTAGATGACTAGTTAGATTGTTCTAAGATCATTGTTAACTTTACTCAAAAAAATCATATGCACCCATAATGCTACACTGTGAACAAAGTAGATTGGAGATAGGGGTCCTAAATGGCATTATGACAAAACTTCAAACCATCTCAATTTAAAGGCCTACAGATTAATTTCTTGCTAACATAGACATAAACTTTAACTATGAGCAGAGATCTGCAAACAGTCAACTGAAAGTGGCACCCAAACACTGTGGCTCTTGGGTTTATTCTCCTCATGGGATGTCCCCAGTGCACTCTCCACCTAAGCCCTAAAGAGATACACGCAACACTTGATTGGGCTGGAAACTACAATTTTACTGAACTGGTGATGGGGGAGGAAGGATTTGTAACATTACTTAAAATTACAATGTTTCCTACATCATTCTGCAACAATGTTGGGATTTCTACATCATTTTCCCTAACAAATCACTTCTAACATAAATAAGAAGTGAGATCAATGGTTTCACGATCCCCAAGATATTATTTAAGACGTTCTTTTGCTTCTTAGGGTTTTGATACAGTGAGCCAAAAGGAAAACTTGATGCCCTTTGCATGACGATGTTGAAAACAATGAAGAGAGAAAGAAGCAGAGGGAGAAGGAAAGGAAGATTCATATAGATAATCCCTGTAAATCAATGAGTGCAAATATTCTTTTTTATTTTTTTAAGGACAGTAGGCACACAGGACATGCTCACCAAATTGTCAACGCAGGCAAACTGTTCGCTCTGTGTACAGCACATGGTCAAAGCTGCCACAATTTCCTTGCTGAGAGAGGTCAATTCTTCGGTGGACAGCTGAGGGGCCATCTTTGTGAGTTTGACAAGGTAGCTGAAAGAACATTTTTCTGTGGTTTTGAATGAAAGAATATACCCATGTACCCTTGTCTAACCTTGAAACCCAAACTCTTCAAGGTTAGAGGCAGTCAAATAAGTCCAACGTGAACCTCAGCACTGTTATTAATATGGTAGAGAACTAAGTGTCTCTTCACTCCCCATTTTCCTGCACTCTGTCTCCTACATCTCTGTATTTTGACTTCTTCTCCAATCTCATGGAAATCTCAGAAGCTCTCATGTTTGCCTGTCCTGTCTCACCTGTGAACATAGAAACTCCTTGGCAACAAATACCTTGGCTAGTCTGTAGAATCCTGCTTGAAATCCTTGCGTAATGAATATACATTTAAAAGGATAATTTAATAAATTTATGCTAGAAACACTTAATTCATGTCCAGAACACTTAACTGTGCTCATGTGGACCCTGTACATAGACCAAGAGGCAGTTGTTCAAACAGAACAAAGGGATACAGCGTGATTTAAATTCAAGAAAGGTGTGTGTCAGAGTTGTATCCTTTTACCATACTTATTCAATCTGTATGCTGAGCAAATAATCTGAGAAACTTATCTATATGAAGAAGAATGCAGCATCAGGATTGAGGGAAGATGCATTAACAACCTTTGCTATCCAGATGACATAACCTTGCTTGCTGAAAGCAAAGAGGACTTGAAGAGCTTATTGATAAAAATCAAAGACAACAGCCTTCAGTATGGATTACACCTCAACATAAAGAAAACAAAAATTCTCACAACTGAACCAATAAGCAACATCATGATAAACAGAAAATATTGAAGTTGTAAAGGATTTCATTTTACTTGGGTCCACAATCAACACCCGTGGAAGCAGCAGTCAAGAAATCAAAAGACACTGCATTGGGCAAATCTGCTGCAAAAGATCTCTTTAAAGTATTAAAAAGCAAAGATGTCACTTTGAGGACTAAGGTGCACCTGACCCAAGCCGTAGTATTTTCAATCACTTCCTAAGCATGCAGAAGTTGAACAATGAATAAGGAAGACCAAAGAAAAATTGATGCCTTTGAATTATGGTGTTGGAGAAGAATATTGACTATACCATGGACTGCCAAAAGAATGAACAAATCTGTCTTGGAAGAAGTACAGCCAGAATGTGCCTTAGAAGCGAGGACGGTGAGACTTCGTCTTACGTACTTTGGACATGTTATCAGCAGGGACCAGTCCCTGAAGAAGGACATCATGCTTGGTAAAGTAGAAGATCAGCAAAAAAGAGGAAGACCCTCAACAAGACGGCATGACACAGTGGCTGCAACAATGGGCTCAACATAGCAAGGATTGTGAGGATGCCGCAGGACTGGGCAGTGTTTCGTTCTGTCGTACATAGGGTCACTATAAGTTGGTACCAACTAGACAGCACCTAACAGCAACAACATGTTGGAAAAGGATAATCTGAGAAGAAGGACATGAAGCTCCTTATTTTTTAAACTGTCTTTTTGTTTGGATTTAAAGATGATTATCAAACACTACATTAGTATGATAATTGAGAAAAGTCAAATGAACTGCATATTATCCATCAATAGTCACAGAGCACTAATAAATTAAATATGCAGGTGTTAAGCAAATCCAGAGTTACTTCTACAAACTCTGTTAAACTGGGCAATAGTCCTGAACAACTGTCTCTCTCCCAGGAAACTGTGACAACCTGCAGTTTGTTCCATTTCACCCCAAAGGTGACAGAATCCAGAGAGGGCTGATTGCAATTGGAAGTTAGAAAAGGAAGTCCAAACAGAAACTAAAGCAATAGAGAATCAATTTGTTCAGAATCTTAGCCTTGTTTTTTTCTCAGTTGCATTACTTTTACTTCAAGCCTCGTTTCTGGTAGAGGGTTGATGTGACAGCTCAATGTGTATTTGCCGGTGTTTTTATTCCTTCCAGAGTTTATAAATTGGCCATAACTGGGCTAAATTTTCTACACTAGATGGGACTTTATTTTATCCCAGTCACAAGTGTTAATGCTTTTGTAGATAACCTACTGGTATTTCAAGTCATCCTTTCCCAAATTTTGAAAACATTCACACTCTTGTTGAACCATCTTGAGGCTTTTCTCAGTTGTCTCATTGAATTTTTCTTCCTGAAAATAAGACCAATCATGTTTATGATCATTTTATCTCAAATTGAATCATAACCTTCATGCTGACTTGTCAAATACCTTTATTTATTTATAAAATATTTTCAAACGGTCATTATCATACATTATCCACTAAATTAAGGATACTTTTTATGTACGTGTGTAAGAATTTGGTTTTTTCTTAAATTCAAGGTCCAAATTTTTCATCATCATTATCTTGTACATTTGTGTAGAGTTTTCCAGTTCACAAAGCATAATTCAAATTTTATGTTGAAAATTATCACATGGATTCTTACTCTGAAGTGGCCAAAGCTGTTTTTGTCTCCATTTTTAAGTTAAGCAACTTGGCCAGAATGACGAGCTAGTAAGTATCATGACAAAGCATTTTTAATTATTTTAATTACTTTTGTCTTTATTTTATACCTTCTTTTTCCTCATTTAGAGTAAGAACTGAAAATCTCCAATAGTTATCTTCAAACATTTGATGAATTTTCTCTCATGTAACATAAAATAGACATCTATTAAGTGGTCACCAGAAACAGAACTACACACCAGTGGACAGAGCAATTCTGTTGGACAAATTGTTTCCCAGTGTGAAAAACGTTTTTTCTAGCAGTATGATTCATTTAAAAAGACACAGACCACCTCATTAGGGACAGTGGCAGAGCAGGAACTGAAATGCAAACCTTCTTACTCCATTGCCCAAATTTGGATGGTGGTAAGCTGGTATGAAAATGGTTTTTATGACAAACGGAAGAGAATTTTAAAATAAAGCAAAAGTAACACACATCAAAAGAAAGAGAAACAAATCAGGAATGAGGAATTATTAATTTCTATAATATATAAGCAATGCATATGAACTGATATTTAAAAAACACACTAATTTTAATAGGAAAATGGGTAATGAACACGAACAAATTATTCATAGAAAATTTGCAAATCCAATAGCTAAAATCATATGGGAAAAATTTAACTTCATTTAAAAAAAAAATGCTTGCTTAAGACAAAAGAGATTTTTTTTTCCCCCATATAAATCTAGCAAAGTTAATTTCCATGTGCAGTGTTGGTGAAGGTGGTGGTGAAATTAACACTCTAAAGCACTGTTGTGGTAAAATCATTCTAGAAAGTAACTGGGCAATTTGTGTCAATTTTTTTAGAAGTCTATATATTTTGACCCAATAGTTTCCCTTTTGATAATCTGTCCTAAGAAAATAGTAAGAAATATCAATAAAGATGAGTAAAATAAGTTACTTATCTCAGGGTTGCTTACAAAATTAAAAACAATCTAAGTGTTCAAAATGTCCACAACAATTAGTAAGACTAATTCTGTTAGAAAATATGTTTAGACTTCCAATTTGGGGTGGTGGGAATATGTCTTTCATCCCACCCTCAGTGATGCCTCAGTGAGAGATTGGGGAGCAGCCTTTGCCCATTACATCATCTTTAGCCACTTGTCAAATATGGGAGTGATCACCTTTCAGCTCTAAATCAGTGCTCTCAGTAAGAGAACAGTAAAATAAATTGTTTTTACATCACTATGATGAGTCATTTAAAATAAATTCTGGAAGTTCATTTAATGACAATTTTTTCTATGATATTAAATAATTCCAATATTTCTTCAGAAAGTATTATTCTGATTTTACTTTTATAAAAAACACATATATAAACTTATAGGAACAGAAAAAATGAAAGAAAATGTTAGCCATACCTATTTCTCAATGATAGAATCAGAAAGATTTTAATTTTTTTTGGACTATTTAGTACTTTCTAATCATCTGCAATAATCATTTAATACTTTTATTACCAGATAAAACTCCAAAATGGCTAAAAAAACATACAGAGTTGTCAGGGATTGAATTGTGTCCCCCAAAAGTATGTGTCAATTTGGCTAGGCCATGATTCCCAGTATTGTGTGGTTGTCCTCCATTTTGTGATCAGATGTAATTATCCTCCATTTTGTAATGTGTTGCAAATCCTAACCTCTGCCTGTAGTTATAATCCCATTTACGAATGGGTTGTGTTTGTCATGTTAGTGAGGCAGGATTAGGTTATGTCAGTGAGGACTAGGTTATGTTTATTATGTTATGAGCTAGGGTTAGGGTGTATCTTGAATCAATCTCTTTTGATATATAAAAGAGATTAAACAAGCAAAGAAGAGAAGCAGAGATGGGGAAAGAGAGATGCCAAGCCACATAAAAATCACCCAGAAGCAGAAGCTCAAAGAGACGAGGACCTTCCTCTGAGCTGACAGAGAGAGAAAGCCTTCTCCTAGAGCTGGCACCCTAAATTCAGACTTCTAGCCTCCTAAACTGTGAGAGAATAAATTTCCATTTATTAAAGCCACCCCACTGTTGTATTTCTGTTATAGCAGCACTAGGTAACTAAGATAAGGCTACAAAAATAAAAATGTAAATATAAAATGTTTAATCAGAAGAAATTTTTGAATCAATGCACTGGATTCATAATTCAAAACATTAGGCATAACCCAAACTCATGATGCCAGTGTTCCCTATGATCAGCCAACAAGAATTTAAAGTGAACTCAGACTGGTCAATCACAGTTTCTACCCCCTAGCCTAGACTAAAACTTTGATGTCAATTTTTAAGTTTTGTTTTGTTTTTTTAACTCTCTGACTCAACAGTAACATAACCTACCGCGTGGCCATAACAATCTGGAGGGTTTTCTGTTCTGCAGCAGTCTTCCAGGAGATTCTCATACACTTCACCAATTCTTAAAACCTCTGGTATAGACAGATCTTGATGTCTCCTTGAGTATTCATAAAGAAACCTATTATGTGTAAAATATTTTATATATTAGAGAAGAAGCAAAACACCAAACCCTGCTATCTTTCAGTCTAGTCAGATCTGCTAATAGGAAACCTGCTCTCAAATGTTAAGTTCCTCCCATGGTTTAGTCCACCACTCATCTGTCAGTTTGTCATACTGTGGTGGCTTGCATGTTGCTGTGATTCTGGAAACTTTGCCACCAGTATTTCAAATATTAGCAGAGTCACCCATTGTAGACAGGTTTCAGTGGAGCTTCCATACTAAGTCAGACTAGGAAGTACCTGGCAATATATTTCTAAAAAAAACTGGCCAGTGAAAACCTTATGTATAGCAGCAGGAGAAGAATACTGAATATATCATGGACTACCAGAAGAACGAACAAATCTGTCTTGGAAGAAGTACAGCCAGAACGCTCCTTAGAAGCGAGGATGGTGAGACTTCATATCATCTACTTTGGACATGTTATCAGGAGGGACCAGTCCTTGGAGAAGGACATCATGTGTGGTAAAGTAGAGGGTCAGCAAAAAAGAGGAAGACCTTCAATTAGATGGAGTGACACAGTCGCTGCAATAATGGGCTCAAGCACAGCAACGATTATGCGACGGTGCGGGACCGGGCAGTGTTTCGTTTCTGTTGTACATAGGGTTGCTATGAGTAGGAATTGACTCCATGGCACCTAACAACAACATGATTGGGTCACCGAGTGATGGCGGATAATTTTATTAAGATTCTTTTCCATGTTTGTTTTTAAACTAGCAATGCTTTTTACTTAAAAAAAAAAAAAATCCATTGCTGTAGAGTCGATTCTGACTCAGCAACCATATAGGACACAGTAGAACTGTCCCACAGGGTTTCCAAGAAGTGGCTGGTAGATTTGAACTGCTGACCTTTTGGTTAGCAGCCGAGCTTTTAACCACTGCACCACCATGGCTCTGCTTTTTACTTAGGGGGATACAATTAATAGAGTTATTTAGAGTTAACTATTAGAGTGATTTCTCTCATAAAGCATTAGAAATAGTATATTGTGAGATCAGCACTTTAGAAAGTAAGTATCAGTGATAATTCTGTAGGAAAATATGTTCAGACTTCCAACTTGGGATGGTGAGAGTATGTCTTTCATCCCATCCCCAGCTAAGCCTCGGTGAGAGATTGGGGAGCAGCCTGTGTCCATTACTTCATCCTGCAGCTTGCTAAATATGGGTGTGATCACCCTTCAGTTCTAAATCAATGGTTTCCATGGCCACAGTCAGCGACTCCAGGGTATAGATAGGTGTTCATGGCGGCGGGGGGGATGGATCTGGAAAAGGGAAAGGAAAGATACCAGCACTTATAAGCCCTTAGTAAGTGCTAGACAGGGAGACCCTGGGTGGTGCAAACGGTTAACACACTCGGTTGCTAACTAAAAGGTTGGTGGTTCAAATCCAAAGGAAGTCCTGGTGATCTACTTCCAAAAAATCAGCCATTGAAAACCCTACGGAGCACAGTTGTACTCTGACACACATGGGGTCACTATGAGTCAAAGTCAATGTGATGGCAACGGGTACGTACTAGGCACTAGGTAAAGTTTTGGACTTAAAAGATAAGGATACACTTCTGATCTTTACAAACACTTTGTCATTTAACTTCACTTAGTCCTCAGGATAAGTACTATTTTCTAGTGAGGGAAACTAAATTTCACACTAGGTAAGCACCCTGTTAGTAATTGGAAGATTCAAAATTTAAACCTACGTCCCACGAATGCCTAGCTTATTCTTTTTTACGCCAACCTGACTCTTTTCTCAAGAGACAGGTGTCTTCTCTAAGTACCTCAGCTGTGCTATTTACAGCCTTCTTCATAAAAGAATTTTACCTACTCATTCAAAATACATCTAGATGATCTTTCATATTTCGTGAAAATAATACCTTACAAAAATAGCACAAGTCAAGGGAATTCTTTTCAGCTCCCTACTCGCACCCCCACCCCCACTACTTTTTCTTTTAGCCGTTAACCCTCTTGATTAATCTGGGTTTCCCTGTTCCCTGGCACTGTCTCTCCAGCTTCTCCACCTGTCTTCCCAGACTCATTTGTGGGATATATTCTCGTACCCTAAAGCAGTGGATCTTAAACTTCAGAGAAACAAAGGCTCCTTTCAAAATCTGATGTAAGCCATGCACCCTTTCCCCAGGAAAAGAATTACACCTAAAAACACACCTCTAAATGTTGCAAACCAAAACACCTGGAAGTCTACCATAGGCTGGGAGATTCATTGAGGTCTTCCCTCAAATGTTCACATCCAGAAAGACTGCAGCTTGAAACTCTGCTTCTGATTCAACATGTTCATTGTTGCTCTATCCTTTCTCGCCATGGCTTCAACTACTATCTATGCTGTAATAAGGATGGTGATGATGATGATGCTGATGATTATGACAAAAATCACTTCCATTCAATGAGCCTATGTCAGGTACAAGTGAAGTGCTTTACATCTATCATTTTGATTAGTTTAACTGGATTTACTATCCACGGTTCATGAGAAGCAATATAGCACAGTGGTTATAAGAGCAGGGCTCTGGAGCCAGGCTGCTTGCATTTGAATCGTGACTCTACCACATATTAGCTGGGTGTCTTTGGGAAAACTTACTTAACCTCTTTATGCCTCAGTTTCCTCACCTGTAAAATGGAGATAATAAAAGTAACCTCGGAAAGTTGTTTTGGAAATTAAATTTGTTGGTAGACAAGAAACACTTAAAATTTAATGAGTACAGTAAGTCCCGGGGTTACAAACTTCTGACAATGGACAATTCCTACTTGCCCTTTAATGTTACATAAATTTGCTCTCACTTTGAAACAAATGAACCATTTTATATAATTTTAAGAAAAGGCATCTGGAGAAAATTGTGCCTGTTTTACATGATTGTTGTCAGAATTAAAATAGATAATCCATATAAAGTACTTAGCCCTTTTCCTGGCACATATCAAGTACTTAATAAATATTAGTCATTATTATAACAATACAGATGCCTTTTCTCAAAATTATATAAAATACTATAATCTATAGCCATTTTTTAAAAAAAATTATATGATACCCAATGATTTAAATAGTTCCATGTTCCCTCCAGCTAAATTAGCCAAAATAGGCCAAATCTCATAAGTTTCTTTCTGTTTGCCTTATTAATTTCAATACAGAGTACATTACTCAGCCATGAAGTTCTCTTGGTCAGCATCTCGGTGTTGACACACATCTTTGCTGTCAATAAATTTTGCTTCTCTTGGAGATAAGTCCTTTGGCTTCTCATCATTTTCTGAGTTAATTATGCACTCGCCACGCTCTGGTATTTTCTTTTCACAGCATTCTTTGACTTTGCTGGAGATGGAATCTTGTTTTGTACAAACATGGCTCATAACCTTGCTCTGTACAAAACAAGAATGAAAAACTATTTTTATAAGTCCTTCGAGGTTGAGTTTTCCTATATAATGGAATGGTTACATGCAAAACCAACCATAAGCATAACATCTGCAATCACTTAATCAGCTAATTTAATAGGTAATATTTATTTACATTTTTTATTCTTTTAATACACACGAAGTTTCAAATTAACACACACCATTTCTCAGGGTGTAAGATGACATAATTATGAAAATAAGGTTCTATTATAAATTTTAATTCATTGTTACGTATTGATTTTTTTTTTTTTTAATTTTCAAGGCATTTTATGGCTTATGAAGAACTTTCACAGAGTTATCTTAAAAGTCACAAACAGTACTATAGTGTTGATAAGAGAAAAAAAAAGTAAAAACACTCTTTGCCATGGAGTCAATTGCAACTCATGGCAACCCCATGT